TTGGGGAATAGACGATGCGAGAAACTACTAGTGACTCATCAACACTCATCGAAATATGTATTCTTATAACAAAAAATTGCTTAGAAGCCGGAGAAAAAAATGACAGAAATTCTGCACGATGTTGCAAAAGAACGCACGTAAGAGCAAACTACCGTTAACTCGCTAAAAATTCGACAGCTTCGCCGCTTTTCTTCTGCAGCGCATTTTCCTTCAGAGATTGCAAAAACTCTTCTCGTTCACGCATGAATGAAAGCTCGTCTTCATCAGTGCTCTCATCGGGTTCGTCGGAATCGATGCGAACATTGGTACGATGGGGAAAACTGCTAGGTGTGTCAGCATTCGGGCAACGTTGTCCGGGCACAGGAATCATGCGAATTTTTTGATGTGGAATTGGTTTCGCGCGCGAAACGGGCCAGCAGGTGCCAAAATCGATGGGCATATCAGGAAACCGTTCATACTCAGAATACTCCCCACTAGAATTTGTATCGTATTTTCACGCGATTTTAGTCAAACCTAAAATAATTTTTGAGAACTCTCACACTTGAAGTATCAGCGATTGTGATCCGATTGGGGAGGTGCTTTTCAAGTAATCCTCAGTATCCTGCACACGGGAATCAAGAAATTCATTTTTCGAGTGAAAACTGAAAAATTTCGTATCACTCAAAATAATCGGGTTAAATTCATACTGATCGCGAATTTTACATCGGGAGTCGAGACGGACCTTTCGAAGTTGTATCATTAATGTTCTATTGCTGAACCCACAATGGTTTTGAGGATCCGGACTCAAACTTGGAAACACAAGTAATCGAATTTCCACGTCGTGACAAATTGTTCAACCAAACCCTCATAATTTAGGAAATGATGTGATAAACTCACGACAGCTGTCTCAGTCGATAAGCCGACATTGAATTCTTCAGCCCATTCGACGATAACCTTCCCATCACAGAACGGTAGCTCTGCTAGACTCAAGTTTTTCTTCGCCAAAGCAGCTGCTTCGAAGGTTTCGAAATCAAGGTAATAAAGCCGTGCGATTCCCACCGTGGAGTTGCGAACCAGCACGCTCGACAAACCATCTGTGAAAAAAGACGTTCTAGTACAGACATATTTACGGGGTCAGCCAGAAATCTCGCGCAAACCGATCACTTGAGTTAATTCCTTGAAGAGATCGTCAGCCGTTAAATGATGAACAAGGTTGCGGATCAACAGGCAATTTCGAGCCCCCAACGAATGCATCGAATTCGATCCGGTCATATTGTCATTAATACTCAATTCGAAAGAAGGGAAAACTCGAAAATTATTATTACGGGGAGAAAATTTTCTGTTAACATGTGGAGATTAATGCGGGAATTCCTGGAATAACGAGTCGGAGATCATGGAAGGCCCCAAAGCGGGAACGCTGAGAATCTCCTCACCACGAGAGGGTTTGAACGGAAATCCTCCCACGCGACAAGGGATTGACCAACTTTAAAATATGTACTGTACATGGCTTCTTCCGCCGAATCAGGAATTTTTTCTTTAATTCAATTTCAAGGAACGATGACGGAATGCTCTGCGTTCTTGGGGGCAAATAAATCGAGAGAATCTAACACATAACCGGCATTTAAATAAAAAACATGATTCTCGAACAATCCCAAAAACGAGATTAACACTCACGAATTCTTCCATCTTTCCCGCGGTGAAAAGTGAGCACGATCTTGATTTTCAAGTGCTAGAAAACGTTGTTAAAAAAAATCTGGCATTAATAAAATTAACAGATTCAGTTACAAATGGAACTTGAAGAAAATTTTGACGCAATGCGTATTCATTGACATATCAGCATTTTATGACCACGATCAATCCACTTATACCC